GTACCACCACCAAACACTATCAGATAACGGAAATCGAAAACTTAGGTCCTTTCAGGGACTATATTTGCTCCATACCGAAAAGCAGCGTTAATTAATGACTGGAAAGCTAGCCGATGTTCAGGCTGGTAATAATTATATGCACACACACATATAATATTTTTTTTTGCTAACTGGCGACGTGTGCTTTACTGTACTGTAAATCAATTTTCGTCGTACTCCCTATATGAAAGAATTCACGCTTGTATCAAAGGCGTTTCACGAAATATTCTGCACGCTGTTTTCGTGACGGATGTTATCTTAAATCTGCTCATCTACTACTCTAGAGGACGTCCACTGCTCTGACGGCGTCGATACCTTCCCATTAGTGATACGTTTTACCACGGCTTGCACTATGCGAAATTAGCAACATGTTGTCATGCCCTCTCTTGTCCTGATTTTTACCATTACTAAATAGGAAAACTATCTTCGCCTTTAGACGAATCAATGCGTTTTCGCGCCCAGTTGCATCTTTCTTTATCCGTACGTTCCTGTGGCAAGACCCGATGCTTCCACCGGACCGCTTCCGGTCTCCTTCATACAGTCGCAGGCATTTCGTCATCGGCACCAATCTTAGTGCCTCCATTTTACTAAAAGTTAGTTCACTTTTCCTTGCCATTCTAACAGCTGCCACTACCGCCGTCCTTGTCAGGAGTCTGCTCTTTGCCGGCTTCCAGCCAGGCGACCTACCATTGCGTGCTTGACTGTTGCATCTATCTGGTCTATTCATTTGTCTACGTCCATAGCCTGCCTGTATATAATCACTTCCTTGTCTGTTTGCATTATCGTTACATTATTTTATCATATTGTCATTGCTTAGTTATGTTCTATCGCTACAACTATGGCCTTGATGGCCACACATTTTTCGGGTTCTGCTCATAGTGTCAAAACAATAGCAAAACAGCAATAGAAACACTGATATCATTAGTGCAATGTTTATGCTATAAATGCCCACATTTCGTTGAATGTATATTGCGTCCATCGTGGCCGCCGTAACGCCGTCTTCAGTGGAAATAGGGGCTGTAGAAGTGGCTATTGTACAAATGTCGTCGCTCTTCCGCAGCTGAAATTCTAATCTCAACAGTGACCGAAATACAGAGCGGAGAAGTTCGTCCAGCGACTTGCTCTTCTGCAGTACCAACGCGAACTGACGCCAACTGCTTTGTCGATAGCCTAATTGCGTCATTTCTTTCTCTGATGAAGACATCGTGCTATTTACCTGAAGTTGCCGCTACTGCGGAAAGACCTTAATATTGAAGGCGATAAGAATTCTCCTGCTGCTGACTTCAGAACTGAGGTAACGCGGGACGCAATCTAAGGCTGCTTACACTGCTAATGATGCCCACCGTTTTTAGCTAGCAGTTAAGCAAATAGAATGTATAGTATGGCGATAGATTTTTGCTGCTCTAATCGTTATCGCTTCCCTCTTGTTTCTTTTGAGGATAAATCCGCTATCGCCACTCCCAACGTCGCTATCTGCCACAAATATGTCCATTGACAAACGGTGAGGACGGCCCGCTCGCCCACGCAGACATACGCAGTCTTGATCCATCTACCAATCCTACTGCTAATGCCGCTTATACTCAAAAAAGATGCCGAAGTTCACACAACACTAATATTGAGCGAAATGTGTATTACGGTATAGAGCAGACATTGTTCGCAGCGCGCAGAACTGCAATATTTACCATTATTTGTTTTGTAGCGGATAGCGATCCCCGAACGGAAGAACAGCATGTTGCTATCGGCTCCAACGTAAGCTTTTACTGCTATCAATGCACTGCAGCAAAGTGGTGTCGTTTGCCCTCACCGTTTCCGGGTGTCGGTTCGGCTATGACCAATCGATTGTTGGTACGGACCTAGCCCGAATCTGGTGAAGTTTGTCATCTTACCTTCTTCATTGGTAATTCTTTCGTTCAGTCGTTGGTTTGCAATACGTATGAAGAAGCCTCGACCGGTAACAACGGTCGTCGTTGCGTTGAATAGAAAGCCGTTGTCGTGATCATCTTATCAGGATAAAGTGACTGGACCGTCAACTAGACGCCCGCTGAAGTCTATGTACGCTGTTCGCAATGGACGGACATTGGGCGCTCACACAACAGAGAAGCGATAAACAAGCAGGGCCCAATTGCTTTCTGCAGTAGCAGCATTCAAGTACATGCGCTTTTCCTATTGACAGTTTAACATAGGCAGACGTTCGCTAACGTGGCAGCTGCAACAATTGCCAATAAAGATTTTGAAGATAAAACAGTATTAACGTGGTCAGCATCACTGCCACCAAGAACAGGGCAGGAAAGACGGCACTGTAGGCAAAAAAAACGGTAGCCACCGCCACCCTCGCTTCGCAGCTATTCGTTCGTATACCTTTACTCTGAAGTCGTGAAGCATGCGTCATCAACGCTCACATAGCATAACGATCCAAACGGCAAAGGGGAAAACCGTGTCGAAAAGTACGAATGCAACATCCACAGACCACGGTAGGGTGGAACGATGGTAAAAGGCTATTGGCCAGGAAGCACACTGGCCTTTGCTTCGGCAACAGTTTGCCCCCGAACCTCACATCGTCGGCATCGTTAGTATCGTCACAGTCACTACTGCTGCAGATACATCGATACACCACCTACAAACGTCAAACCCTTATATATATACTGCTTAACCGGCTAATCGGAAGAATTCCTACTGCTGATGCTGTCAGTGATGCAACGCGGTGACGGTGATAGCCGTGATTTCTCCTTATCTTTCCATTTATTCTCGGTAACAGGCTGCATTGGACACAGACTAGTTCTGAAAGCCACGATCGAGCCTTCATTGGAACTGGGGCCGGAACTGGCGTTGTTACGCTGTTACAGAGAATGTTTAGCCAGCGTCCCTAAAGCAGGCAGCAAACAGCTCTGGGTCTTTGACAGCACGTTGGATCATGGCTGCTACAATACCCCTTGTGGCTTGTCGCGTTAGTTGTGATTGTGCTCCCGTTGGTCGAATGAACGTAACGTTCGCCAACTGTCTTTACCATACGACAATAACAAGCAGCTGCTGCACCCTACAATTGGTGGCCAAGCCCGCTGCTATCGTTCTTACGGAATAGCACGAGCAACTAACAGCCTACGCTGCTCAATTGTTTTGGTTGATCCTTTGGATTTTCCTGTCAGAGCCTTTGGTCACCCCCAAAATTATCCTATGATGTTGAGCGTCGCTTTAACCTTTGATGCGCCCCATCACTGTAGCAGCATAACCCAACATAACCGAGGCGATAGCGACGATGATTATTATCATGATCGGTGTCACGGTATTCTACCATGCTATAATATAATGCTTCCAGTAGTATAGAATTAACATGGTAGGATATGACTGGCTAGAAAGTTCTACCCAGCTAGAAATCCACCTCGATACCGACCAGTGCTTAGACGCCTCATTCCCTTCCCTTCGTAACACAACTATCCGTTATTCTCGCCATCAGCATCATCACTATTGAGTATGATACGCGTAGCCCCGCCACAAGGGGCTAATCTCTTTATGAGGGACGTATTAACGAAGAAGCAGAAGCAGTGGGTGGGGATATGATAACCAGTCGATAATATTATACCTCCATCCCGCAGCAGACGTCGCGCGAACGTAATCCAAATGATATAACCGCAGTGACAGCTCGATATGTAATATATGGCTCTCGACTTTTTTCCGTACATAGTTAACATCCACATTCGATTTGACAGACAAAATGGGGTGACGTCCAACTAGCATTTCTACATTTGACATTGTCGATCTAACGAATTTATTGATCTTTGGGAAGCGAGACGTCAATCATTTGGTCATACTTTAGCTTCCAGCTTTGACGTAATTAATTCGATCTTTTTGTTTCCCCATCCTATCTATAAATGTATTGCATTCAATGTTTCCGAATCGTACTTCACGTTAATTCAAAGTGTAATCAGTACCGTCACATATTATTTATACACGTATTCGTATGGGTCGTTGAGTTGCTGAAACGTGGCACTATAGCATTTAGTCAGATACTGAGTATTTACACTACCTACGCTGTCTCATCTCACTTCACGCCCACCGCCACTTCTTGTATCATGGGCTTCATTAAAGTTAGCCCCGCGCAATCAGTTCTCCGTCCCCGAAATTCTTCTTCCTATAATGCCTATTTTTCGATGGCTTGCCCGTGCCAACATCGTTCATCACGTGCTATTGTCTCTAGGAAGAAGTCCGATATAAATTTATATACGTATTCTTGCATGGCTTCAGGCTAAGTAAGCAAGACGTTCGCACATACTGAAGCACTAATTTGAAGCCCAAAAGACGTTGCACTGGAAGCAGTATATATGCATACATTTGGAGTGTAACTCGTTCTATTTTTCCTGGGCTTTTTTCTCTTAATTTCGTTGTATTTTCAGTGTGAATTTTCGGCACAAGCAGCAGAAGCGCACTCGTCCATTGCAACAACAGCAGTTAACTCGAGTTCTATTCGGGTTTCGTTTGCATCAACATCTGCGCTAGCTAACTCGAGGCCTACCCAACTGAGTACATTCTTCTTTCCCCCCTCAAAGTGTCGTCCTACTTGAAAGCAATGTTCCACCGCTGACGTCATTGCCATCCACAACTTGCCATTGCCTTCCTAAGCTAAAACAAAACAGTGTCATCCGAGAGAAAAGCAGTAAGCTTGCAATGGGTAGGCAAGCACCAAAACGGGAGTCGCACTAACCTTCTGGTGAATCTACGGCTGCGTTGTACATCCGAGTCTTTCGTTGGAAAAAGCTGGTAGAAACGGCTTCTCGCCAAAAATGTGGGGGCGCTCGAATTTTTAACGCCTTAGGTTGCTGCCCCTGTAGAGGGGGACTGTGAGCAGTTCCAGATTCTACTGACTGTCAACGACCACGGTGGTGAATGCCCCGAAGTAATCTATTATAAAAATGAAAAAAAAAAAGCTATCGTCCTCTTCAGAAAAAAGACATGAAGCGAAAACGCACCTAACCATTCTTCACGAAACCAAGTGAGGAGTCCTTCGGTTCCCAAAGCAGCTGATGGTTTGGTGCTGGTTAACCGCTTTGTCTTACCGCTCCCAGTAAGGCAAAGTTCCTTGCTGGTGGCCTGCAACAACATAGCTCGTTTTCTCGATAGTTTATTCGTGTTTTTCGATGTGCCTTTGTGGCCGTATAGCTGTACAGCGCTTTTGCCTTAGGAGACAACTGAGTGTCTTCCTGTTATGACGACATAAGCGAGTGTACGGACGCAAGCGGACCTGCTTTCGCTAGACCATTGCTCGTGTCTGTATTGTTGGTAGTTGGATATCGGCTATCGACCACGCATATTCGTTATCGTCTTTTTTTTAAAGGACGCCGAGAATAGGCACCAGTCTAAATGCAGCAGCGTTGTCACTATTGCCTTTGTTAACATAAACAGTCACTGTCTGCGTCGTGTTGCTGGCCGCGCCTTACCAGACAGCATTCGCAATATGCAGGCCACTCGACCTGCCTGCCAGCAAATCCGGAGCCTAGTCCCAAGACCTACCACTAAAGGGCGACTCCTGCTTCAGGGAAAAGTGACACAATAACAACAGGGTGACCATCCATTCTAACGGAATCCAATGGATCAATGGGACAGTTTCGCTTTCCATTCGAGGTCGTAATCCGAAGTTGGCTTGTGACAATCGTGTATCATACTATGACAAATTCCATACAGACGGCTCACAAATCTATACGCAGTCGAGCTACGCAAGGGACCGAGCAGCTCTTAACATGGCGACAGCAGCAGTATGGAGTACTTAAGCTTTCAATCCTGTACAGAACAGTTCCCCTGGGTAGATATGTTTTTGAACAGGAACACTTTTCTGCGATAAATAGCAGAAGGTTAATGAAATACGCTGACAAACCAAGGTTGGCCTGGTGGATACTGCAGGGAAAACGTGCATAAAAGCTGAAGTTCTAAGTAATCACCACGTACTTGTTTTGAAATATTATCAATCTATTACGCATTCATTTGACAGAATAAAATTACATTGAGCGCAACCGACGTCGTGTCGGCAAAAACAGCTGTCGTTGGAATCTATCATGACACCGTTTTGTGTTGACAAAGTCAAGCTGCTCCTTTAGTAATTGAGCGTCTTAGCCTATCTAGTCAATAATGGATTCCTCTATTGGCTTAGGTACTCGTCAACAGTGCGGTACAAGTACTTCTGCCGCTCAATACAAATGAAGCGAAATTAAGCACATGCACAGTGCATCTGATCGTTCCATCGTCGTTATGTTAACTTACGATATATATCTAGTGGGGATACTTTTTGCAGTTATCGATTGTTTTGTATACAATATAACATAGTTGAAGTTGGACTATACGCAGCTGCAAAGGTACATAAATCGGTAACGTTGTAAAATACCAATACCTAATGTCGCCCACAATACGCTAAATTTTAAAAATGCCAAGGGAATCAAAGTTAGAACTATTAGCAGGTCAAAATATGTAAGCACTGAAAATAATCATAGAGTTCAAAGAGTCAAAACATTTTCAAAGACTAACTATTAGAGCCTACTGAAGCTATTGAGCTATAGAAGAAATTGAGACCCCCAGAAAAGAGTATCAGCTTCTTCAACGGCTATTAATGTCTGTAAGAAAAAGTTAGGCGTATCAAAAATCGCTTGTCAAGCAATTCTGATGAATTTTCCGAGGCCGTAAAATCGAAACCTTATTGAATATTCGTACAGAACTAAAGGGTAAAATAACATCTGACCATCGCTTATGCACTCCCTATTTGCTATTTAGTTTTTTTAAATAACTAATGTTCTTTTTAACAAAAACTACGTCCAAATTTAATCTCTCCACTTGATATGTACACGCATCATGTCATTTTCGCTGTCTGCTTCACTAAATTTTCTCTGCTCGTAAGGCCTTCTGTCGATTGTACAGTTTCAAAGAACCATCGCTATGTCCTGCTCCAGAGAATCATGGGGCAACCTTTTACCTGTGAGACGGTTACGTCGCTTCTTACAGACGCTTGACCTTGCTTCTAGCCATTTCCATGACACACTCAGACATTGCTTGTTTTTCGCCCTCATACAGACAGCTAGTCGTTGGCTATTTTCAATCACTGTAACCGCGACCAGCTTCCTGGTTTTGGAAAAGCTTCAGTTCCACACACATAAACCCATGTATCCGCGCGATCAAATGTAGACAGTTACACAACATGGTCCACTTTGTTACTATTGGCATCATTGTTATTGCTATCGTTGCCACCGCCATCGTTTTGACACTACCACAACCACAACAGAGAACAGGTTCCGTCTGCTGTAGCTGGCATTTCTATTATTTTAACGTAGCTCATTGGCCTAATCAATATACGGAGCCTGCGTTGGCAAGGGCAAATTAACCCAGCCCGTTCGGAATAGTTGAAAAAAAAACACGCATTGCTCAAAAATAATGATCAGTATTACGACTAGATTGCGACTATTATATAGCGCGACAGTGAATTTGCTAGTTTGCCGTGGCCCGTACGTATAACGAAAAATTACGACATAGAGCAAAATTACGTACGACAGGGCTACCAAAGCTTGTAAAGACTGTCCATATGCGATGATCTGCACCCTATCTTTCACTAACTCTAGCCGCAGTGAAGTCGTCAGCTGTTCGACACTTCTGCTGTTGGTACGAATTGTGCGATTTTATATGCGAGGTCCTCAGAACTGTGGGCTAACAAAAAAAAAATTTTTTTTTTTACATTTTTTTTTTACAATTTTTTTTTTACATTTATTATAAGTTCTTATATTCTTGCCACAGAGTTGTCCATCAGATCGAAAGATCATAGGGCGTTACCACATATTTCTCATCTGGTGATTAACAATTTAGAGGACAGGCGGAGGAGAGGACCCTGCTAAATCCAAATAGCCTAAGCAAACAATAAGGACCGCTGCCAGTAGGTTGACCCGATCGCGTCTCGTCTTACACTGTAGATATATTACGGCAATATTATTCCTAATACTTCTGCTGTCATTACTGCAGCTTATGACGCCCCTTACCAAAAGGTCAGATCGGACGCAGGTTGCGAATGGAGCCTTTTCGGTTACCAATTCACGCACCCCTTTTCATCCAGACACGTTAAATAGGGCAGGGCATCTAGCAGAGTATAAGGTCTAATAATGAAATAATGCCAGAGACAATCGTTAGCTTCTTATCAAGTGGACCAAGGAGATTGGTCGAGGATCGTAGCCTTGTAAAGTGGATTGTTGGGGCCCGATTCATCGGGTGGTCGTCACGCTTGAAGCTTGCGGCCAGTACTACGTCTCACAATTAAGGGAATACGCTCTTCATTTGTTTAGCTTTTAGCTTTAGCTGAGTTTAGCAGAGTACATGTTGACTGGGGCAAACGTGCGATCACTCGATGGCATCTGTCCCCAGCTGTTGCGCCGAGTTGCCTATACGTGGGGAGGTAACAATAAACAACCACAGATTTTCCCATTTTATTTACTTCTACGTACAGCTTCTGAGCGAAGCCGATTTCTCAATTTGTGCCGACTCGAAATCGATACTTGCTTTCTACATTAGCTACTCACATTTGCCTGTCTGATACAGTCGCAAATCAATGAAGTCGCTAACGCGCGAACACACAAACTGAGCGGGGCATTGGTTTAGTTAGCGACAGATTCAAATGTTAACCCACAAGAACCCAACGATCCTGTCTATTCTTCTCCCAAAGGCTCATTCATACAGAGAGTATCATTCATTGTGCTTGAAGGGAAGGAACGTAAATACTCACACGCCATTTTCGTTACTTGCATATCCACCAGGAAAGTTCTACCCACAAGATGATCGTAAGTCGCTGAGTTTTTTACTACTAATTTTTTAATAGTAGAGAGTGAAACGGTATTGCTACCTGTAAATAACAAACGCTGAAACTCCAACGTGAGAACTTCCGGGTGCATTAGTGCCGCTAATTCATTGCTATTAATACCTTGTAAATGATAGAAACAGACAGGGTTATAGGTATGACGATAACTCAACAAGTTAAAAGCTTAATGAAGTTTCAAAGTAAATTACAACTGCCAGAACTCTAACACTTCAAAAGATTAATTGCATAGCTCCACAGTGTCCGGCTGTACAAAACGGTGTCTATCCTATGTAGACTAATCCAGCGTACAAGTCACTTGCCCAGACTGACCGTGTAAATCTCTTACAAACGAACTTAATTATTGCAACATGTATGCACTAATGCAATAGTACTGCTGATCTACTGGCTACTGCGCCTGGTCTAATGAGGCGGCCTGAAAACTAACCAACTTTTGGGGATGAGGTCTATGGGAGGCCACTGTCATTGGGGTAAGTGCAACTTAGCCTGGTGGTGACCAGGTCTAGCACTGGAGCTCATTGCTTTCCAAAAGGCACTCACGAAAAGGAGGTTACCTCTCTTAAGTCAATCGGCGAAGATCAACAAGTGTTGCCTTTCAAATAACCGAATAGGTTGATTGACAGCCAACCGACTAATCAATGCAAGACGAGATTTTCTATAACATCGGAAGAGATGAATGACTAAAAGTAGCACTTATCTCAGTATTTGCGCATTGTTGACTGTACATTTACAAAAAGCATGCAAAAGGTACGGAGAAGCTTGCATGAGCGACCTTTATCGGCAGTGTGTTTGTCTTAAGTCAGCATGCCTGTATTTCCAAACAAACACAATTTCCTTACTTGTCTAAGCAAGCTGGTCACGGGTGCAATACAATAAGCTCATCGAAGCGGTAATAAATACCGACAGTCGTTTTCGCATGAGACTAAGATCGAGGCAAAGCAAGCCTCGTGGGCACAGCAGCTCCGATTTTGTCTGCCTGGGTCAGCCGAAGTTCTCTTTATAAAACGTCCACACATCGAGTCGCAGTGGGTGCAGGCGCTGGATGTCCTATTCAACCGACTAAGCCAGCATCGTACTCTTCCCTTTTCGACACCATTGACTAATTCAGCGATCCCCTCGATCTACCTGTCTTCTAGAGAAAAGCTAAGCAACAACTGCTTTTACTTGTTGATGCGGTTCACAGCCAAATTACTCCTTCCAATCAAGTTGTTCCCCCGGCTTCGTATCATCTAACGAGCAGCTAACATCGAGTAGAATTTCCATCGGCTACGACTGTGAGAGTTCCCCTCGAGACTAGCTAATGTCGTAGAAACTGCCTGCTACTTATGTGAGATCCATTTTGCCCTCAGTCCATTTTCTCACTATCCTGCTACGTCCTATAGCGGTTTGCCGCCTCCTGTCATGTCGCTCCCCTCAGTTGCCCTTAACCTCTAGCAGTGCTGCTGCGTGCTTA